TGGTGGTGGTGGTTGTGGTTGTGGTGGCGGCTGTGGAGATGGTGGCGGCGGTGGCGGTGGTGGCGGTTGTGGCGGTGGTAGCGTGGTGGTGGTGGTGGTGGTGTGGTGGTGGTGGTGGTGGTGGTGGTGGTGGTGGTGGAGGTGGCGATGGCGATGGTGATGGCGGTAGCCGTGGCCGTGGGGGTGGGGGCGTCGGCGGCTGTCGTGATAGTGGTGGTGTCTGTATGTGTTAGAGAAGGAGGTATTGCCAGATTCAGAACGGTACTGCTGCTAGTAGTGTCTGTGGCTGAAGCAGCGTGGCGTCAGTGGCATAATCGATGACCATGGATTTGCAATACAATAATATAAACGTACTTTGGGGTTTTAGAACAGCTGTTCAAACTCTTCTGCGGAAGAAAGGCCTCTATGCCACAACGTCGCTATATATAAGGTTAGTAAGTGTTATAGTATGTCATCATATTCTAATGCTTCATATTTGGATTACAATATTTCTGGTTTAGACGTAAGAATAAAATATAATATTTATCCATGCACATAGATGATAAAGGTTACATAAATTTAAACATGGGATTAGAGCGCTTAATGGTGATACTAGCTGACATACATTTATACGAGTACGTATATATTATATGAAATGCATATCACTGTATCACATAATTTTACATGTAAGTGTGTAGCAAGTAATATGTTTACAGCGCATGATTATGGTATACAAATGTAAGGTCATTATTGGATACAATAATCTAACAATAGAACTGTTGTATGTAGGGTGTGATCGTAGCAATAAAGAAATGTTCGGCGAAAAGAATAAACATCACTAGAAACAGACTGCTGCAGATAAAACGCGTAAGTATTTTTAGACTGATTTCGTTTGAAATGGCGCGTGGAGTCATGGTAATATCCCCCCACACACACACTCCAAGACACGCACATACGAAGTGCACGTACACACGCGGAAGCAGTTGCTCTCAGGTGAGTATTACTGGCGCAATATACGCCCCGGACCGGAAAGTTATTCAAGGTACATGATGAATTGCGCAGCCTTAATCACCTTATCCTATCCTACAGATAGATAGAATCAATATACATGATCGATATACCGCCTTCGCCATAAAGCCATGTCTCTCTGCCTGTCATACATTTATAACCCAATTTAACAGAATTTAAAACCACGTCTGAACGCAGCTAATATTCGTCGTGCAACAGCAAATAACAATAAGCAGGAAGCAGAGAGACCGCGTCTATTTCATAATCGCGAATAATTTATCTGCTCAATAAACTGAATAATTTAATTATTTAACTACAATTAGGTAACAAAAAATTTATCATTAACAATTTTCGTTCTACTGCTGCTACTAGATGTGAAGGAACTGCAATACAAGGTTCTTGTGGTTCTGAATATCGTATGCGTCTCTGATGCAGCAATATGTTAGTACTCAATGCACTAATCTAGATTCGGGAACTGCAGCACGAAAACCTGACTCGATTCATCGGAGCCTGCATCGAACCACCTAATACGGCCGTGCTGGTAGAGCACTGTGCACGCGGTAACCTCCAGGTACGCACTTATGTACGTACGCAACTATGCCCGTCCCCCCACGCACGAAACACGGACACACTGCACAAATATGACACATATGTGTTATATGGCACACAGGCACGCAGACACATAGTCACGCATACACGCACGCAGACACATGGTCACGCATACACGAACGCACACACGCGTAGATGCATGCGCGCACGCGTGTATGGTTGGCCGTCGTACTCAGAAATAATCATTTAACCGCGGTAAAATTATTGGCCTTTCACCCAATCAGAGGTCGCGTGTTACACATAATTCAACCGCGGATAAATTATTTCAACCGCGGTAAAAATAACTCAACCAATTATGGCAATTTTACCCAATTAGAGGCATTGTTACACGTAATTTAACCGTGGTATAAATAATTTAACCGCGATTAAATTATGCGTAACAAGGCCTCTGATTGGGTTTAAGGGCTATAATTTTTCCACGGCTAAATTATGGCCCTTTTTACCAAGTCCTTGGCCTCGTTACACATAATTTAACCGCGGTAAAATTATTTCTCTTTTACTAAATCAGAGGCATTGTTACACATAATTAAACCGCGGTTGAAATAATTTTACCGCGGTTAAATTATGTGTAAAAAGACCTCTGATTGGGTAAAATGGTGTTAATTTCTACCGCGGTAAAAATAATTATTTCTGAATACGATGGCCAACCATACACGGGCGCACACACAAATACGCAGCCGCGCGTACACAGCACACACACACACACAACACAACAACACACACACACACACACAAACACACACCACAAACACACACCCACACACACACACACACACACACACACACACACACACACAACACACACACACACACACACACACACACACACACACACACACAACACACACACAAACACAAACACAAACACAAGACACAAAACAGACACAAACACACAATACGCTGACAGATCCTAGGCTATTGTAGCGTAGGATTTTTATTGAATTACCACAGTTTACCGAAAATTTTCAACGGTTGTGGCCAAAAATCGGTTATTAGTTATTTAAAGCATAATTATATAATTGCATAATATAATAGATATATAATGTAGTAATAATGCGTTCATAAAATATATAGAATATATAATACGGATTACGCAATCGACACCGTTCATCATTTACAAGTGAATTCAAAGAGTAATCACATTTGATGAATTCGACCTGCGAAACTCGAGAACGCGGAAATACGATTCTCAATCACCCAGTATATGGGGCTAATTCAAGACGCATAATTTCGGCCAATGTTACTACCATACGTATTCTATGGGGGTAGACGTGAAAATATGCATCTCTCAGTACCACACACTAGAGAAATTTATTATAAACAAATTTCTGACTCTTTGACAGAGATGTGCCTGCACAGCAGCACCATTCAGTGAACAAGGAATTCCGCATGTCCATTCTGCGTGAAACATCGTATCTGTGAGTTTTTGGAAAAGTTCTTCGTGTTGTTATGCGATGCAGCAAACAGTTCAAGATGAAGTTCAATACAGATATATAGGCTATTCAACTGTGATTTATATGTTAAATAGTATTATTATATATATTATATATAATATATATATATATATATATCTATATATATATACGCAGGATGATCTAATCAACCGTGGGCAGCGATGTTAAGTGACATGGTCATGCCACCTGGTGAGGAATAAAAATATTTTGAGGATTGATCCATTGATTTCCTTCCCAGTGCCAAACTACTAATCGATGTTTGCATAAAGTAATACATTTTACATGTTATTACATGCTTTAATTAATTAATTAATAGAAATTTTAAATCTTCTTTAATTATAAACTTTCACGTTTTCCGTTGCTCATTCATCTCATTTCATGCAGGGAATGAAGTACTTGCACGAGTCACCCATTAAATCTCATGGCGATCTCTGTTCGCCTAATTGCGTCTGCGACAGTAGATTCGTTGTCAAGGTGACAGATTTTGTCGTGAAAACACTGTTAGGAGGGAACAGAGACATACTGATGGGCCAGCCTCAGTCGTATTACTCACGTAAGATTCCCATGCATTTATAGTTTTTACGTATACAGAGAGAACGAGCGAGTGTGAGGAAGTGAGCGAGAGAGAGGGGGGAGCGAGAAAGGGAGAGAGATCGAGATAGAGCGAGAGAGAGAAAGACAGAGAGGGGAGAGAGAGAGCGAGAGAGAGAAAGACAGAGAGGGGGAGAGCGAGCGCGACCGGAGAGAAATTAGAGAGAGATGAGAGAGAGAACGAGAGAGAGAGAGAGAATGAGAGCAGACGAGAGAGGATCGCGAGGAGAGAGAGGTGAGAGAGAGAGATGACGCGAGAGCAGAGAGGAGAGCGATGGGGAGATGGGTGGATCAATGACGCAATCGATTGCTGTGAGAAATAACATATCCGTCCCTTTCAAAAGCAGGTTTTTGTATACACATAAAGTAATTATTTCCACCATCCAGGATATAAAATACTGATGGGCCAGCTTCAGTCGTATTACTCACGTAAGATTCCCATGCATTTATAGTTTTTACGTTATACAATGGACGGAGGAACGAGCGAGTGTGAAGAAAGTGAGCGGTGAGAGGAGAGGGGGAGCGAAAAAGGGAGAGAGATAGAGCGAGAGAGAGAAAGACAGAGAGGGGGAGGGCGGGCGAGAGAGAGAGAGAGTTAGAGAGAGAGAGAGAGCCGAGGGGAGACAAAGACAGAGAGGGAGAGAGCGAGCGAGCGAAGAGCAGATCGAGAGAGAGGAGAGAGAGAGAGAGAGAGAGAGAGAGAGAGAGGGAGAGAGAAAGAAAGAGAGCGCGCGATGAGGAGATGGGTGGATCAATGACGCATTGACCTAATCGATTGCTGTGAGAAATAACATATCTGTCCCTTTCAAAAGCAGGTTTTTGTATACACATAAAGTAATTATTTCCACTATCCAGGCTTGCTTTGGACCGCTCCCGAACTTCTGCGAAAAGAGCAATTTTCCCTTGATGGAACCCAGAAGGGCGATGTCTATTCATTTGGCATTATCCTTTACGAGGTTATACTTGACAGCTACCCATTCCAAGATGAAACGATAAGATTGACCCCGATAGGTACACATCCCGCATAACAGTTTTATAGGATCTGCCGCTGTGATTAAATACTTTAATATTATTTGATTTATACTACGTAATAAATTCTTAATAACACATATTCATCGTTAATAATGATCAGTAAATTATCATTGTCTCAATATCATATATTATCTATATATATATGGTCTTTCCGTAACGACTCCGATTGTTATACGTGTCGCCAACGAGTTCAAATGTGTGCTGCAAAGAGCTATTTGTAATCATGGTAATTAATGTCTAACACATTTCAGAAATCATTGAAAGTGTACGCCGCGTCGAATCTCCTCCATTCCGACCGACTGTGGAAAATGGCGCCTGCCAACAAGACATCTGTAAGCTGATGACAGCCTGTTGGCAAGAGGATCCTTCCGGTCGCCCGTCGTTCGATAACATTCTTGCAACGTTGAAGATCATCAGCAAGTGTGTATACTACGTGGATGTGGCTAAAGTGATTGCCGTGTTGTTTGCAATATTGTGATTTTATCTAATATTTTTTCCTGTATATATCCCCTATATGTATCCCCGCATACTTGTAATGGTTCTACGCACGAAATCATTAGCGCACGCACGTATCATTTGTTAATAAACTGCTAGTAAGTACTGCATCACTGCTTATTAGGCTTAAGATATCCATTTGTCAGAGTGATGTCACAATTACCTAAATTAGTTATTAATTAAACTAGTAAATTGTTAATTATACTGAAATGAAAATAGGGAATACCCGTATATTTAAACCGGAACGTAATTCATGTTACATGATACATGAAGCATAATACAGCTTTGTCAGAGCTGTTAATACTTGTTTTACAACTGCAAAATTATTGTAATATCATTATTGCAAGTAATCAAGAAAGTAGCTGTCTTTGCAATTGGAAGTGAAGTTGCATCGCGAACGTATGATTATGCTGTTAAGATAAACTATATTCGTTCTCACCAATTCTCATTCAACAGCATTTGATAACCTTTTATGGAAATCGAGGAATACAGAGAACAATTTCAATACTAAGCCGCGACATCTTTTAACAGGGGCAAGTTCGGAAATATCCTTGACGACCTACTGATGCGCATGGAGCAGTATGCCGCCAACCTGGAGACGGTCGTTAACGACAGGACATCTCAATTACTGGAGGAGAAGAGAAAGGTCGACCAGCTTCTCAAGGAGATGCTTCCCGGGTAACTACCTGTTGAGCCTCAGCCATACTTTAGCAAGATTTACACGGAAACAGCAACGTTAATGATTCTTCAAAGCGTGTATTTGGGGTCGATTTACTCAGCCGCACCTAGCAGGATTACTGAACGCTAGCAGAAACAACAATATGAATAATTATTCGAAACGTGTAGTAACTAATTGATTTGTCACTTACAGATTGAAAACAACGTGGTGTATTAGTTGTCGTGTCAGTTACCGCAGTTTGGTGTCGGGGGTTATTGCAGGAAGGTAGCAGAGCAGTTGAAAGCAGGACATGCCGTTCAGCCAGAATTATACGATAGCGTCACGATATATTTTAGTGACATCGTCAGCTTCACCACGCTGTCAGCTGATAGCACGCCACTACAGGTAAGCCTAATACATTCAGCCTCTAGTGGTGTGTAGAGGATTAGTACTATACGAAACCATTCTATTGATTTGGCTTTAATATCTCCGACACCCTTGCGTGATGGAACATCCGTTTAAACGTATTTTGTCGCATATTTTTGCAGATCGTCGACCTGCTCAACGATCTATACAGCTGTTTCGATGGAATTCTAACGCAATTCGATGCTTACAAGGTAGGGCGATCTATGAACGAATAACGGAATGTCAATGTTATTAGTTATTAGTTGTAATTATTATCCTTTCAATCAGATTTTGGCAGCTCGCAATTATACCACAACCAAAATATAATGGTACTTCACTGTATCGTCCAAGCCGTTCGTGTTTAACGTCAGCGGTGGACGCTTGCTATTAGTGCATGGTTGTTGCTGTAGCATATTGTCTGTACACATGGTGTCTGCAGGTGGAGACGATTGGCGATGCCTACATGGTTGTTTCTGGTCTCCCGGAGCGTAACGGCGACAAGCACGCGAGTGAGATTGCTCTCATGTCGCTCTCCTTACTCAACGCCGTGGACAAGTTCAAGATTCGACACCGACCAGGAGAGAAACTACAGCTAAGGATAGGGTTACATTCTGGTGCGCACCGGAAAGCCTGCATAAATATTATATAGCCTATAAATAAGTCTCTGAATAAATATGAATTTATAATTACTAAGAATAATTTTTTTATGATAGATGAACGACGCCTTTGAGAGTAATTATATGAAGGGAGTTTCCAGTAAAGCTAGAGAGGGTGCACGTTTCCGTTAGTCTATGCACGTTTGTGCGGGCGTGTGATTATAGTGATTATAGTGATTATAGGCGTTTTACTGCTTGTTTTCTGCGCTTAATCTTATTAGTTCATGGAATCGCGAAACATCGCAATATTTTGTACATGCTGTAACAATTAACGAAGTAACTTCGTTTATTCCAGGTTCGTGCGTAGCAGGGGTAGTCGGATTGAAGATGCCACGTTACTGCTTATTCGGGGATACTGTTAACATGGCTTCAAGAATGGAATCGACGGGTTTGCGTGAGTAATGGATCATAGGCGCGTCATTTTCTATCCGCGTTGATTACGAAATCGATCGCTAAATCTAGGATATTTTAGTGCTCGCTTGCATCAAACACATTCTTGAATAAACCCAGAACCACCCGTTCATTGCTGAATATTCTGTATATTTGCTGATAACCCTATCATGATTGCACGCATATCCGACCGAACACGCGCTTTGCTAGTGCTGTATTGTGAAATACGGCTGTTCTTCGCACAGCCTTAGCAATCAATCTAGTAATAGTTATCGGAGATACGGTATCGAAACGATGACTGTTTATTATAACTTGGCACATGCACTCTACACACGTACAACTATTCTCGCGGACTATAAGTGACATCCATCGTCTCTCTTTCTCTGCAACTCCTCTCTCTACAACTCGTCTATCTTTCCCCTTCTCTCTCTCTCTCTCTCTCTCTCTCTCTCGCTCGCTCTATTTTCTATCTCTCGCTTTCTCTTTTCTCTCTCTCTCTCTCTCTCTCTCTCATTCTGCAACCTGTTCATGCCTGTCTCTCCAGCTCTTCTTATGTCTCTGCGTCTCAATCCGTCGGTCTCTCATTGTCCCTTGGTAGGTGAGGGCAGAAGACTGCGGTTGTAGTTAAGGTTGTAGTGTGGCTGCTACCGTAGATTGTAGGCCGGCTGGTACCAGGTAGAGCGAGAGGTAGCGTAGGTTGGTTATAGTGCGAAAACGTATGGAACTCAACTTGCGAAAGACAGACAGAAACCAACTTCGTGGACTGTTGCTAAGTAGCCGTCGTCTATCGTCTTTCTGCAACTCCTCCCTATATCTCGCCTATATAACTACGTCTTATATACCTTGTTCTATGCGTAGGTACGAGCGAGTTGTCTTTTTAAAGACCAATAGGTGATTAAGATTGGCGCCGCAACAGCCACCGTCATTACCGATAACAGTACCTGTTATTAGCTACCACAGTTGTTACAGGGACACATGACCCAGGGTTGCTTGCGTATTTTTAGTTAAAATAAATTTAAATTACGCTACATAAAAGATTTCATTCGATCTAACTGGGTTAATTGTTACTCAACCGTGAAGATTGGAAACGTACAGCTGACGTCAGGTTTGAGAAAGCCTCGAGGCGAAACGTCAGCTGTACGTTTCGAATCTTCACGGTTTACTACAACAATTAACCCAGTTAGATCTAGTAGTCTACCAGCCGAATAAAAGATTTCATTGTTCAAAATTCACCACAAACATTTTCTAAAAATGTTTTAAAACTAACCGCTATGTCGTTGCTCACAACGACGGTGGCGCCACTGCTAGCGCATCTGCTTGCAAAGTTGCGCATCGTAACTTTTTGGCTGCAGGCTACAGATGAAGGATGTTTCCTATTTATTTGTTTAAAATGAGAAGGATTGCAATACTTTATAAACAACTCAGTTTCAGCCATAGTGTGGATGAATTTGTCTTAGAATAACAATCGCTCGGTTAAATAGCAGTTAGATATAAATATAATTGCACCTTTAGGATCAGCTATCGGTCTGTAACCTGCAAAATAAATTGGCAAAAGCGCAACTTCGTCAGGGTGGCAGCACACTCGCGGGGTGTCAGCGACCAAAAATTAAGAGAATTTGAAACTAACTTTTAATTATGCTGAGCGGCCGTTGTTAATTATATCACTGTCTGTCACATTAATGTCTAAGAAGGTCCGCGCTAATATTTTAAACTTTAAGCGCGTGTGGGCACGCTATAGCTAGTTACTCATCAATTGCGCGCACACGCATGCAGTTCATTTAAGCGGGTTCGCGCTAATTCATGCCAGGCGAAGAAACGCCAGGCATAGTTATACCCATCAATTGCGAGACAACATGATCATCGTTTGTCGCTTGTCATCTTCCGAGCCGACAGGCGTCTAGATGCCCACGCATATACAATACTAGCAAATAGAACTTTTAAGCCCAGAAACATGGATTTTAGTCTTTCCCAACCTATGATTAACAATGAATAGGAAAGACACAGCGACAAAAACCATTCGCAGCAATACTTCAGTTGCGAATTGTTCTAAATGCGGTTCACAGTTAAATTGTGTTTATATAATACGCAGTGGCTATGCGTCCGGTCATCCATTACAAAGCTCAGCACAGATTCCCCAAACCACGTCACGATTAGGCCACGCCCCCTTTCAAATCGTTGATTTTACTGGATTTACAATTGCTTCAAAAGTTACAAAAACACATTTTTTGATAAAATACCTAAAGGCAATTAAAACTTATTGTTGAATGTTTTTTACTGTAAAAATCTAGTTGGGTTCACATAAGAAATATATGACCGGACGCGTAGCCTGCATGGGAGCTGGGCGTCCGGTAACCGGACGCGTAGCCACGGCCTATATAATAATATATTTGTAATGTATTATATAATGTGATATAGATGTTTGTAGCTATTTACACTAGCTCGGATACCTTCGTGGTTTTTATATCTGTAAGCTGTATCTGAATGCTTGGTATGATGATGTACATTCTGAAGACATTGTCGGTGACACGTTGAATTCCGATTTTGGACGACTGACTGACGACATTTTCTTTTTTAAATGGACGTAAAGCGTTGAAAATTCAAGTCAGCTCATACACAGCCGAGATACTGCAGAGCTGCGATCAATTTCAGCTACAGCTACGAGGAGATATTGAAGTAAAGGTAAGCTTCTATGTTGAAATTAATTAAGGTGTAGGCATTTCTATTGTAATTAGGGCATGGCTATGTATTTATATTAAGCTACACCCATGTTCTGAATTTAAGATCTGCTCATCGTATTGTTAGTCATCGCATCCGTTCCGAATCGATTAAGACGAAGGCGTTAATTACTGTGATAAATTTACTATGTCAATTACAGGCCTTACGATGTTCAAAACGTGTATTATAGATGTTGTGATGTCGTGAAATATATATATATATATATATAAGGACGACAACCTATTAGGTGACCGCTATCACATCTAAACGAACCATATACTAAATATGGCACCCGGGATTACCGAAGTTTCTTACCTTTGACTTATTTTGTGTTGCTGTCGTAAGGCAGCGCGGTTTGCTACTATCTATTATATGTGTTGTGGCGTTGAGCGTGCGCCGGCTCGTGTTCGCGTGCCTGCTTGTCTTGTGCTTAGTGGTTTCGCGTATGCCGCGAGCCGTACCTGCGAGTGTCCCTGACGTGCAGCGGGTCGCCGTGCGCGGAGTGCATGCGATGTAATATAATGCATGGCAGCATGAGAATCATGTCTGCATTCGGTGTGTGTGTGTGTGCTGTTGTGTTCGTGTGTGTGTTGTGTGTGTGTGTGTGTGTGTTGTGTGTGCCATGTTGTGTGTGTGTGTGTGTGTGTGTGTGTGTGTGTGTGTGTGCATGTTGTGCTGTGTTGTGTGTGTGTGTGTGTGTGGTTGTGTGTCGTGTCCGCGCGCAGCGTCTGTCTGTGTAGTATCTGGTGTGGTTGTGTGTTGTGTGTTGTGTGTGTATTTGTGTGTGTAGTGTTGTTGTGTTGTGTGTTGTGTGTGTGTTTATATCTATCATATACATAATACTATAATAATTATATCATCTATACCGTGTGTGGTGTGTGATGTGGTGCGTGGCGGCGTGTGCGGTGCGTCTCGCGTGTGCGTGTGCGTGTGCGTGTGCGTGTGCGTGTGCGTGTGCGTGTGCGTGTGCGTGTGCGTGTGCGTGTTCGTGTGCGTGTGCGTGTCGTAGCGTACCCCGTTAAGTTTTGGTAGCTCTTAAAAATAAAAGCACTGTATTTCAAATTTATTTTATACTTTCTTAATATATGTATACACCATCTAGCATTTACTAATCACACGAATAAAGAAACAGCAAAACGCATACTTGGCGTCGTAGTGGCTGCTTGAGTCGTAGACCTCTTGCACGCGTATAGCCCGGATACGCGTAATTTCGTGTAACCTTGCTACCGAACTACCACTTTCTAGACAGGTGCATGCTAATCTCGCTGTGTAAACACTAGCTGTTCCCATATTCTGTTTCAGGGGAAAGGTACACAAAGAACATATTGGTTGGAAGGTGCGGCATCTGACGATAAATCACCATGTACGCCTGACGTTTTATGCCGCACTTAAGAGACGTTTTTGTCTAACAGGGTTGTCAACACACATTAACTTAAATGCACCATCGTACAAAAATGTGTAAATATCTGAGAGCATTGTTTAAAATTCTGATAGAATTATTAAATTTTTTAAGTTACGTTTCGTTTCAAAAATCCCGAAATACGCATTTTAAACTGTTTGGAATCCGGTGTACAGTAGTCAATGAAAACAGCTTAATCTGACTATGCGAGCTAAGATAACAAAACAACGGACCTCTAGATTACATTGCTTTTTTGCGAGGTTTACGTCTGAACGCTGCTTTGCAAGAGATAGGGTTTCAGCTGCCTTGTATCCAAAAAGGTTTTCCTCGCGTGAACGCGTCTTTCTTGTATTGTAGTTATTCTTGTATAATATGTTCGTACAGCTGCCTCTAATGACTGAATTATCATTATTGTCAGAATGATATGTACCAGCAAAATTGTAATGAGAAACTGTTGACGATTGCCAATAGTGCAGGGTTTCTCGCATTGATGTCACCATCAACGGCTTCAATCTCAAACTCGAAACTTGGTCATATTCTTCGACCGACTTCGTCTGCTTATAAAGCCATTTTCAGCCGACAGTAGTCTCTCGCACTGCCCTTGCCCTGCGGTATCCAGAGAAGAGACCGGATACCAGAGAAGCGTCGCCTGAGAGGTGTTGATCCTGCCCGCTAAGCGCGAATCTTGCGCGCAGTTCTGCGGCAAGGCGCACGCGACCGCGGGAACGTCCTACGAAAGTATCACACGCTGGCAGCTTTTGATCCGTGCGCCAAATCAAAAGGCCGGCGCACG